GTTCTGTGGCCCCTCTTCTCAGGTTTCTCAGACTAATAGCCCTCCTCCTCCCCTGCCCAAACCACCCTGGAGGCATACACCACCACACGGCAATAGTCAGCCTGGTGCTTACTTCATTCTGGAGTATTCAAGCTCCAAAGCCCACGCTCCCCTTCCTTGAGGCCACTAGCCTCCCTTTTGCCCTCTACTAGGAGCCAGGGCTGACATTGGCTGCAGGCATCCTCTGACAGGCTTCCGAGTCCCTGCCCTCACACAAGACCTGGTCAGTGCTCTCCAGAGGCGTGTAGGAGGGCCGAGGAAACTCAGCACCTACACCTCTGGACTCAGCTCCACAGAGACAAGTTGGGGGAATAATCCCATGTGCTCATGTTCGAGGTCACAGAGCTTCAGCCACTATCTCTGGAGCGGAGATGCCTCTATCTGCCTCTATCTCTTGCCATCATTCTCATTGTCCGTCTTGACCCATTTCTGTCCTTACAAAGGGTGAGAATGAAACAGAGGATAAAGAAGAAAATACCTGTCCCCCACAGGCCAGAGGCGGAGGGCCAGGGCCAACTCCCTGCGACCCTAGAATCGAAGGGCTCTTTTTGCTCCACGGTGCCCAGGCTATAGGGATCCCCTTGAATTTGCCCTATCCCCTCAATGACAGATTATGGGGACACAGAGAGACAGAGGAGAGATGGACAGAGGCAGCAAGAGAGAGAGACATACAAAGAAAACCACAAAGATTCAGAATCAGGAAAAACAGAAACGCAGCCTTTCCACCATGTGAAGACACACAGAAAAGGTCCTCTCCAGACATTGAATCTGCTAGAAGCTTGATCTTGAACTTCCCATTCTCCAGACCTGTGAGCATTTCTGCTGTGTATAAACCGTGCTTATCTAAGATATTGTTATAACGGCCCAAACAAAGACGTTACACATATTATTTTTTTTCTAATGAACGCCGATGGATTGAGTTAGCTGAAATTTCTCCACGAGACTATAAAGCTTTCTACAGAGAGGAGAGTTTGTGTATATAATAATGCCCTGCTCCTACTCCCACCTAACTCAAAGAGCCCCACAGAAAGCTATGGTAACTACTGCTGCATGAAGTATTTTGGTTTTGTGTTCACAGAAGTAATACAGTTGCATGTTGCAGTGGGTAGAATGGTGTCCCTCGGAAAAAGATGTTCAAGATCTAGCCCTTGGTAGCTGTGAGTAAAATAGGGTTGTTGCAGATGTAATTAGTTAAGATGAAATCATAGTAGGATGGGCTCTAAATCTAATATTACTGCTGTCCTTTTGAGAAGAGACACAGAGACGACGCAGGGAGAAAGTCATGTGAGAATGGAAACAGACTAGAACGCTGTGTCTGTAAGCCACGGAATGCCAAGGATTGTCAGCAACACCAAAACTAAGCGGAAAGACAAGAACTGATTTTCTCTTGGGAACCAGCAGTTAGCGTAATGGCTAGGTCGCTGGACTCCCACGTAGTCGACCGCGGTTCGCGTCCCGGACCCGGTGGCTTAAAACACGCTGGGCACGTGTGCGTGCGTGCCCAAGATCCTGAGAGGAGAATGGAGGAGAAGGGATTGTGGCATGACCATCCCCCCTGGAGGGTGATTTCTCGCTTTCTGTCTCTATGTCTCTCTCTGTCTGGTGAGCGCATGCGCCCTATAGTGAAAACCTCTCCAAAAAAAAAAAAAAAAAAGAACTGATTCTCTCCTAAAGCCTTGGCCCTCCTGGCATCTTGGTTTAGACTTCTAGCCAGAGAACTGGGGGGTGGGGGAGGGTACACTTCTGTGGCTTTAGTCCTCTTCATTTGTGGAACATTGTTAACAGCAGACCTACTATCTCCCACTTGAGTAAAATGAGATAAAATACTAGTTAGCTGAAACCTAGCTCTAAGATTAGTGAAACTTATGAACCGTAATTATTAAGAGAATAAAGTTAAGCACAATAAAAGATCTGAGGGGCCTGGAAAAAAAATCAGAAAGGCACTCAGAGAAAGAAAAAGAAACGAAGAGACAGAAAAAAGGAAGAGAAACAGACAGAGCTAGAGATAGATAGAGATAAGAGAAGCTGGGGAAAAGAGCCAGGGAGAAAGAGAAGGAAGATAGCCTTTGTCTACCCCATAGACTTAAGCCAGAGGAGTGAAGTGGAGTTTGAGGGAGGAAGCCCAGCCATCCCACCTGTGGCTCTGCCCAGACCCTCTGGTTCTTAACTTGGAGATAGGGAATTTGGATGGGAACAAAATTACATTATTTTCACTAATCTCTAGCTGAAACTTAGCATTTCCTTAGATTATGACAATAGTAAAATAATAATAACCATCATCATCATATTAGCCATAACTGTGGCTTTCTTACCAGTAGGAATCACATATATTTTCTTTTTTAGTTTTGCTATAGGGCATGTGCACTCATCAGAGAGAGAGAGAAAGAAAAAAGGAATGTGAGAAATCACCCATCGGGGGATGGCCATGCTGCAATCCCTTCTCCTGTCTGGATTTTGGGCACACGTGTACCCAATGTGTTTTCTAAGCCACCGGGTGAGGAACTTCAATGGTGGAACTGGCCATGTGGGATCCAATCACCTTAACACCACACCGTCAGCTGGCCTCATGCAAATATTTTCATATCCTATTACAGTACAGCAGATTTTTTGAAGTTTTTATGCTCATCACTCCTTCAGAATTATGAGGTATCAACCTACCAGTAGGTCTTACTTAAAGCACTCATAAAGAAGCACATATATTACTATATCACATTAAAAATAGTTTTATAACTATCACAATATAATTGGTTTCCTTTGTAACCCTTTATATTTTATTTTATCCATTTTAAGACATTATTCTGAGACAGGATTCATATGCTGACTAGGCTGGAAAAGGGGAACACGGCACAGAAAGGTTCAGAACTCCTGTAACCAGTGCGTGAGCCGGACCCTCCAGCACCCACCTACAAGCTCCCTGTTCCCTACGCTGTCCTTTCCTGCTCCTTTCGCATTGGATTGCTCTGCTTTCCCCAAGAAGAAGCTGCCCAGGCACAATGGAATAGGCAGGGATTTAATTAAGGGAAACGCCCCTGAGAGAGGAAAGGAAGTTGTAGCTGGGAGAGTTGTGGAGAAGGAAGGAAGGAAGGTTCAGAGGGAGCATCCCAGACCACCCTGCAGTTGTAGGAAAGTTTAGCAAGGCCACTGGGGAATTCCTGAACCAAAGTCAGCTGTCCTGAGGGCCTACCTTAGGATCTGTGCTGAGCTCAGTCATTGGCTGGGAGCAGCCCAGCTGAAAGCTGGCCTTAGAGCACCAGCTGATTGATTTGAGAGAAGCAGGGCGTGGGGCCTGGTTAAAGGTCTGAGAGGTGCAGTCTTGCTTTCCCCACAGATGTCCATCTGGAAAAAAGAACAGTGCACTGCTTCTTAGGCGCTTAGTCCAGGGGTCCTCTCTGAGGTCATAGGTCAACTTGGTAGTTAAAGATACATGCTTAGGGGGCCAGCAAGTGGTGTTGTGGTTAAGGCACTGGACTCCCATGTGGCCAACCACAGCTCGAGTCACGGATCCAGCAGCTTGAAACTCACACCAGGCACTTGTGTGTACATGCCCCAAATCCTGAGAAGAGAATGGAGGAGAAAGGATTGCCATGTGGCCGTCACCATGGATAATTTCTCACTTTCTATCTCTCCGGTAAGCATGGTAAAGCACACATGCCCTATAGCAAAAATCTCTCCAAAAATAAAAAAGATATATGCTTGGAGAGTTAGCCATTATCTGCTGCAGAACCATAGTGCTTGCACCTTAACTGTAAAAGGGGGATAACATTTCCAATCTTGATCCAGCTGCTGTGGCACAGTGGTAATGTTACTGACCTGTAGTGCTAGAAACCATAGAGTGACCATAGTTTGGATCCTGGGTTGGCCTGAAAAACATGCCAGACATATGTGCAGGTGCCCGGGATCCTGAAGAGCCGAAGAGCTAGGGGAAGGAGATTGTGGGGTAGCAAGGTTGTCAAGGTTGCTTCCCCCTTATGTGTGCATAGGTGCTTTCTATCGTAAAGAAAAGAAACAAACATTTTTCTATCTCGTAGGGGTATTGTGAAATTAATTGAAGTTTACAAAGCAATGTTTGTGAAGTGGCCCCATAGCTTAGTGGTTAAGCCCTGTTTATGACAGTCAGAGCCCACATGGCTGACTGAGGTTCAAATCCTGGCTGAGTCCCGTGTATATGCATGCATGCCCAATATCCTGACGGGATGGAGAAATGAAGGAAAAATGACTGCAGTATGACCACATCCCACGGGGGGAGTGCTTTCTCTCTCTCTCTTTCTCTTCCTCTCTCTCTCTCATGAATACATGCACTCTCTGGCAATGAAAAAATCATATAAACAAGTAACAAAACAACATTTGCATAGGGCCCATGACATAGCCAGCTCTCAATAATCAGCATCCATAGATCCAGCAGGTGGTGTCAGGGTTAAGGTGCTGGACTCCCACATGACTAACCACAGTTCGAATCCTAGACATGGTGGCTTGCTTTCTCACTCGCCTTCTCTCTCTGATGGATGAACTCTCTTTCTCTCTCTGGTGAACATGCATGCCCTGTAGGAAATTTAAAATAACAATAATGATAAATAAAATTAAAAAAATAACTGGTCAAAAAAAAATCAGTAGCTGTTATTATAGACATTTTGATTATTAATTAGTATTGTCTTTCTCAAAGGGAAGACCCTGGGCAGTGGGGATCCAGGAGACTAAAGGTGACAATCTCTCCTAGATTTGGGGCAGCTGGGAGGTGGGAACCACTTCCCCACACTCTCATCGTCCCCTGAGGCAGGGGTCTTCCCCTAGCTACTGACAGTTCCTGTGTGTGCTGACTCACGGCCAACTTCCTCTCATACAAACAGGAAAACACAGCCGGCCAGCGCCCCCCCCTCCAGCACCGCACACGGCTCAACACCGGCTCTGATCTTGAGGGGGAAGTGCTTCAGGCTCCAGGGGACCAGCTCCAGGGCTAGGACTCCTGCAAGATGGGGGAAGGGAGAGGAGCCACTTCTCCTCTGGCCTCCCCTCAACTCCCACTGCAATTTTAGGATAGGAGCCTGGGGAGAAAGGGTTATCTGCTTGCAGGTGATTGTGCTAGCAGGGGGCCAGCCTCATCCTCAAGGGGCAGCCCCAAGCCTTGGTTTGGAAGTAAGGATGTTGCTTTGCCAACCCTCATCCCTGGACAGAAACCTAGGTGGGGCGTGGGAAGGTGGAAGTGGACAGGGATTCCTCTGCTGGGCCCCTGTGCCTGCTGGCCCAGGCCAGATCACTGGCTCCAGAAAGGGGCTTCCAGCTTGGAAGGCTGAGGCTACCCACCACCTCTGGAGGTCCAATTTTCATCTCCCTGTCAACTGGGTGCTAGAGTCTAGCCACCCTCTTGGGCGTAGGAGAGGTGCCCTGGGAGCTTAGGGCCTGACCTCTTCTCCCCTTCGGCATTGGAAGACATGGGCAGTTGAAGGAATGCAAAGTCGTCGTCCATAGCGTGTTCCTTTTCTCTGTTCCTTTCGTTCCTGTCCCTATCTCCACTCTGGTCTCTGTCTCTCTCTCTCCCTAGGCTGTCTCAGCCCCCGACTACGTGTTCTGGACCTTTTCTGGTCTGAGAGAGGGCAGAGCCGGGCAGACCCCAAGGTAGGTGCAGCGGTTGGGTAAAGAGCCCAAGCCATTTGAGGGCCAGCGCTTGCACAAGGAGTGGCGGGGCCCCGCGCCGGGAACGGGCCAGCCGGGCGGGGCGGGGCCCCGTCGGGGGAGGGCTGAGGGAGGCGGGGCCGGCGCGGCGCGACCCGGAGGCTCGGACAGCGCGGCCGGCACCGCGGAGCGGGCG